ACTTCCATACTGTTTTCCATAGTGGCTTCTCCAATCTGCAGTCCAACCAACAGTGCACAAGGGTTCCCTTTTCTCCACATCCTCTTCAACACTTGTTTGTTGTTTTATCGATGATGGCCATTCTGACAGGAGTGAGGTGATATCTCATTGTGGTTTTTATTTGCATTTCTCTGATGATTAATGATGTTGAATGTCTTTTCATATGCCTGTTGGCCATCTGTATGTCCTCTTTAGAGAAATATCTGTACAGGTTTTCTGTCCATTTTTTTAAATTGGATTGTTTGTCTTTTGGTGTTGAGTTTTTTTTGTAAGTTGTGGATATTAACCCCATAGCAGATGTATCATTGGCAAATATCTTCTCCCATTCTGTAGGATCTCTTTTTGTTTTGTTGATGGTTTCCTTTGCAGTGCAAAAACTTTTTAGTTTGATGTAGTCCCATTTGTTTATTTTTTTCTTTTGTTTTCCTTGCCCAAGGAGATAATGAAAATATTACTAACAGTAATGTCTGAGAGTTTACTTCCTGTATTTTCTTCTAGTTTTATGGTTTGGGGTCTTACATTTAAGTCTTTAATCCATTTTGAGTTTATTCTGGTGTGTGGTGTAAGAAGGTGGTTGTCTCATTTTTTTTGCATGTATCTGTCCAGTTTTCCCAGCACCATTTTTTGTATAGACCATCTTTACCCCAGGGTATATTCTTTCTTCCTTTGTCATAGATTAAATGACCATATAGGCATGGGTTTATTTCTGGGCTCTGTATTCTGTTCCACTGATCTATACAGTAATACCTTGGTTTGTGAGCATAATGCGTTCTGGAAACAAACTACTCGTATTGCAAGACATCACTTGTTTACCACGTTAAAATGTATTAGAAATGTTTGCTCATCTTGTGGAACACTTATAAACCAAGTCACTTGCAATCCAGGGTTTTACTGTATGTCTGTTTTTATGCCAGTACCATGCTGTTTTGATTACTATAGCCTTGGCATCAGGTAGCATGTTACCTCCAGCTTTGTTCTTTTTCAGGATTGTCGTCCCACAGACTTTTTGATGCTAAGATTTTTAAAATTAGGAATGGTAAAAAGAAGAGCCATGTCTTTAAAGAAATTCTTTCCTGTGGGCATCTCCACCTTAAATAAAAATAAATAAATAAATAAATAAAAATTTTATTTTTTTATTTTATTTTTTTATAAAGGCCATTAGAGGAAAGAAAAAGGACTGAAAGTATACACACATCACACATGATACTGTTGTGTCTTTGTCATCCACATGAAAAATAGAAGGTAAGGGTCACCTGTTTCCAGAGAGCGCTTAAATTCTGGGTATCTTGTAACAACATCTGGGTTAGGGGATTTTGAAGCTTAGGAGGGAGCCAAGAATGATGACATGATAAGAGGAATTTGCCTGTCTTCTAAGCCATTGGAGACCCTGCCCTGAAATTGAGTGAGGCAAAAGTAATTGACAGAGTGCTGGAGGTGTGCTAGGCAGAAGCAGTAAAGAGGACAAGGTGGAGATTCCCATGGCTACTAGAAAGAAGGGTAAGTCAGGTTCTAAGGAACTTGACCAGGCTGCAGGTGGAGGCACTGCTTTTCTATAAAGGCCAAAACAGTTACCTATTGCCTGGATACTGTTTCTGGTATCCAGGGTCACTAATTGCTTATGTTTACCCCCCCCCACACACACACACATAAACCCTAGGCTAATATAACTATTTTGGAAATCACTGTTCTCTTTAATTAAATATTATGGTTAAATGAGAATTGATCAGAAAGTAGATTTTGTTTGAAGACACTTTATAGATCTTTAGAAATACCCACATTGTTGTGTAAATTGATTATCATGATCATTGTTGTCTCTTTTGCCCCAAGGCATCATTTTTATTTTGAACATCTGGGTTATTTCTTCTTGGATGTAGGGACTGTGTTTTATTTGTATTTTCATGGCATCTAGTTTATTGTTGGGCACAGGTAAGCTCTTCTAGAAAGAACATTCATTGTTGTCCAGTGAAGATAAAGAATATTGAATGATAGTCTTTTTCTTTTAAATGAGTCCTTGGTGTCAGATAATTTTGTGTGTGCTTCTACATGGAGAATTAAAAAAACAAACAAAAGAAACCCTGAGCGACTTGAGGTAAAGAAGATGCCAGCTCTTTTATACACACGAAACCTCATCCTCATACACATTGCCTTCTGAATTCCTGTTACGAAGCGTTGTAGACCTGGCTCCATGATGGATATTTACCTGCGATCTTTCAAAGTTTTGTTTTTTTTTTAAGTAAATTATCCTTAAAATTATTAAAATGGGATAAAGCCACAGCATTGTGTTTTCTTTTCTTTATGACTTTGAAAGCAAAAACATGAAGTGGCAACTGTATTAAAACTTAAATTGTGTATATTGACCAGAGAGCAGAAGTTATTTTCTAATTGAGGTGCAGGAAGCCTTAAAATGCTTGTTCATCCTTTCTCAGTATTACTGAATGAATCAGCAAACCTTTATTTTGAATTTTAGCAATAATATATATTTCTAAGAATATAGAAAAATTTGGGTGTAGCATAGGAATCTAAATTAGGTATTAATCAATTAACAGAATTTTAGGTCTGGAACCTTTGGGGTGTTATATCTTACTTTTCAGCTTTGAGAAATGTTAGAAGGTGACTGACAGATATTAGAAGGATATACGCCATTCTTACCTAATTTAGTCATTACTTACTGTATTTCCCCCAAAATAAGACTGGGTCTTATATTAATTTTTGCTCCAACAATCAACATTTATTCATGTATAAAAATCTGCATTTATTCAAACAGTCATGTCTGACTGATGATCTTAACGGGCTTATGTTTGGGGTAGGGCTTATATTATGAGCATCCTGAAAATCATGCTAGGGCTTATTTTCTGGTTAGGTCTTATTTTCGGGAAAACATGATAGTTATATTACTGGGTAAAAATGGATTACTGACCACTTAGATGGTTTTCAGAATTCGGAAGATTGTTTCAGGTTAGCTTTCTGTAGTGCCCCATGCCAGTGAGGCCAAGGTTGAGGTGGCGTCATACAAGTCAGTTGCAGTGGCTGTGCTTATAGTTGCCAAGCCTTGCTCTTCTTTGGTCACCTGTCTTGCAGGTATATTTCTAGCTCCCAGAGGATGAGCTGGGGCTCCCTTTCACACCTCATGGCTCTGTAAAAGCTATCCAAGGACTTCCCCTGAGTGCTTGTCTCAGTGCTACTGTTCCCATATGTATTAGAGTAGCGGACTGCGCTGTGTTTGGAAGGTGTCCATGATCTAGGTTTTGGGTTTATACTAAAAATGGCCAAGTGATTCATTCAGAAACAAATACCTGCATTGGACCAGGTACTCTGTTATATGTTTGAGGTCAGAAAACAAGTAAAAGTTTTGACATTTGAGCTGAGGCCTAAAAGGTGAGGAGTTAGCCAGCTGAAGAGCAGAAGTCCAGGGAGCAGCCACAGCACATGTAAAGGCCTTGCGGTCCGAAGGAGCTTGGTGCCAGTGGGGCAGGAAGGAATGATGGTGAGGCTGGAGAGCAGCAAGAGAGGGAGACCAAGGCTTGAGATAAAGCTGGATTAATAGATAGAAAACCTGACCACACAGGTTTGGAGGACATGCTGAGGATTTTGAGTTGATCATAAGACATTTGGAAGGCATCATAGGATTTTTAGCCATGGAGGAATCACTTTGATGTGGGAGAATAAATTAGAAGGGATCAAGAGGACTTGAAGGACTCCTTCTGTCTCTGGCCACGGCAACGAGAGGAGCTGGGCATCTGCAATAGGTGATTGGACGTGACTACTCCAGCTTCCTGATCAAAAGGAACAGCAGATGTATGGCGCCAAACCCAATAACATGAAGGCCCTCAACTCCTTCTGCTACAACAGGCTTATTCATTGCAAGATGGTGGGCGTGGAGCCAGCTGCCTATGGCAAAGGTGTGGTGGTTGGTGGTGGCTGTCGGAAAGCAGAGATCCAGCCAGCGAAAGCCAGCCTTTTCCTGTGTGTGGACCACCATCAACAAGAACGCCCAGGCCCCCCTCAGCAGCATCCGGATCCACAAGAACAAGTACTGCCCGGTCCTGCGCATGGCCGCCATCAGCAGAGCCAGCGCCATCCTGCACAGCCGGAGCCCGTGACAATGAAGAGGAAGCAGGCCACCCCCAACAAGAGCTCCTGAGCACCCCCCACCCCGCCCCCTGCTCACCCCAAGCAATGAAGCATCAGCCGACTTTACTACACCAAAAAAAAAAAGGGGGGGGTGCTTGATGGGAATGAAGCTTTTGTTATCATCAATAATAGCAGCTAATATTTATTATTTGTTTGCTATGGGCTTGACAGTATGCTAAACCCTTTACCCTTATTATCTCGTGTAAAACCTCACAACAGTCGAGTTGGGTGCTGCCTTTACCCCTGTTTTACAGGTGAGGAAACGAGTGAGAATAAGCAGCTTGCCCAAGGCCATATAGTGAGTAAGTGGCAGAGCTGGGATTTGAACACAGAGAGCATATGATTCTAGACACTGTGCTGGTAGCTACTTGGCTTGTGCTTTCAGTGCATGAGGTCATGGTCTATTAGCGGTTCTTGAAATTGAGTGGATCACAACTGGAAATTTTTTTAATAGAACAGAGTAGAAATTAGAGTACTTGACAGTAATAAGAATAAAACATTAATATGTGAGACTTTGTTTCACTTTTTATTTTATATAACTGTTGGGTTGTTGGAAAAGTCATGACACATTTTTGCAACGAAAAACAGAAAAAATACGTCATGAGTTTTCCGACAGCCCAGTGTATTTGTACGTGGGTAAGCTTGTAAGCCATTGCAAAAAGTAAACGTCTACCTAGACAAGAGCCATTGATGGCTTGGATTGGATTGTGACAGTCCAGTGCAGAAGGAGCTCAGTGTGGAGAGGCAGAGGCACCAGGTATCCGAAAGAGATTGGATACAGGGGCTGATTGGAGGGAGGTGTCAGGGATGAGTCCCCGGCTTCTGGTGGGAGCAAGATAGTCCTGGTTTGCGTGTGCTCAGTCCTCTTTAGAGGAGACTGACCCTTCTTAGAGGGGACCTCCCGGTGTTTCTTTTATTCCCTGATTCTCTAGCTTCTCTCAACTGTAATGGATGGGACTTGGGGTTGGCATGTCATCCAAATCTGTATCTTACAGCAGATCTGTAAGCTGGCTGTGAACATCTGAGGTGATCTGTCACCCAAAACTGCTTAAACGGGGGATGAGCCAAGAATATATTCTCTCTCTGGAATTTGAGGTGAGTAGTGAACAGGCCACATAGGCACACATGTGGGCCAGCAGAAGCTCTAGAGCGAAGGTACGGGGATTGTTTTTTGCTGTAGTGCCCATGGAATCCAAAGAACCTTTAGGGTCCAGTGTTGAAGAGTCCAGAGTCCTCTTTCTGAAGTTGAGGTCCAGTTCATTTGTTCCTGGCTTTCTGTGAGGCCCATTTCCTTATTCTCATGCATGAGGTTTTAGCAAAACCTGGCTGGCTTCCCACGTTACTGCCAGGGGTATCCATTTGCATTCAGCAAATACTAACTAGAAACAAAACATGGAGTGGTTAAGTGCTTGGTATAAATCCCCCGTCTCCATCTTAATGGTTTTGGTCAAGACACTTCTCACTGAGCCTCAGTTTCCTCCTCTGCATAGTTGGGATGATATGAGAGCATCTGCGTCATGAGGAGTCAGTGCCTAGTGCAGAATTAGAGCTTACTGAGTATTTGCTGGTAGTAGTTGGTATTTTTCGGATGGTTCTGGAGAGACTTAAACATGTTTATGAACAAAACCTATAGGAAAGAGCTGGTGGGGGGTCTATATTTCAGCTATATTGAACACTAAAAATAAACACACAAGTAGAATAGAGTTTTGAGATGCATTTCATGTGTTTGTGAGTGAAACAGCTTGTCTTTGAGGTGGAATTCACCCATGATCTGGGCCTGGTCTGTCTGAACTTTGATAGTCCTTATTTCTCCTTTCGTTTGTATTTGGAGTAGAGTGGATCGGAAAATAGTGACATTTTTTCAGTCACTGAACATTTGAGGCCCTTCATGTTTCAGGCAGTGAGTAAGGCGTCAGAAGAACAAAAGTGAACGGCACAGGGATGATCCCCGTGAGGAGGTCGGCAGCCTCCCTCAGCGTGGTCAGCACGCCATAGTGGGGTACGCCACACAACTTGGGGGTGCTCACCACTGGCCACTGGGTCTGGAAGAAAACATTAGAACTTCTCATTCTTACTTTCAGCCTCAGTGTGTTTTAAAACACCTAATATATAAGAATAGTAGCGCATTTCTGAAATGTATAGACAAACATACATATATTTATTGATGGGGCTACCCTGTTTTTTGCAGGTAGCGTGTATGTGATCAAAAAATGTTTGGAGGCTGCTATATGTTTATATTTTTAAAAATATACATTTTTTATAACTTTCGCTTATGGTTTAACATTTTGAGAAACCCAAGAGTTTCTATGAATAGTAATCCACGTTCTGAATGGTGAAGGACTTGTACTTGTTGCCCACACTTCGTAGTGTGAGGTGAGACTTGTTATATGAAAAGACTCGTTCCTAAAGTCTGGCCTGACAGATTTCAGCCTTTCTCTCAAGGAAGTCATTTGCTGCTTTGTGTTGGAGGAACTCTACCTTTTGTAGAATGATCCCTTGTCAGGAAGCACTAAGTCCCCACCAGCTGTCAGATGTTGGGGGACAGGGCATGGAGCATGGTGGGACACCGTGTGCCTGCTGCACTCTTCAGTCCCATCTCAAACCGTAACTGCCGATGACCCCCACACATGCCTATTAATGTCTTAAAGTGACAGGAATGGCGTGCCACCCAGAAATGCCCCAGCCCCATCTGCTTGCTCATTGTAGGTGTTTTCTCAGTATGAAATGTCTCACTTTCAGAGAGTCGTGTAATCCTTGGTTCAAAAACTTCTTTCTTCCCCCATCCTGAGGAACTTTTTCCTAAAATGAGTTAGAAAAACTGCTATCAAGACCCCCCCCCTTTTTTTTTTAAAGATTTTTATTGGGGAATTAGGGGGGTTGGGAACAGTGCTGGGGAATTGGGGAAGGGGAACAGACAAGTTGCTGTTGTTTTGTTCTTCAGTCTAGTTGTGGAGGACGTTGCTTCACTGGCCCAAGTTGGCACCATCATTGCGCTCTTCCCGGGCCAGGCGGATCAGTCGCCAGCTTCTGGACGGCTGCTCACGCTGGCTGCTGGCTACACACAGTAGCCCATGGCAACCCACCGCAGCAGGGGCTGCAGCCTACGCCGTCACCGGCGACTCACGGCAGCCCAGCTCCAGGTTGAGCTGTTGTTCAGCATCTTAGCTGTAGAGGGCAGTGTCACTGGCCCTCATATGTGGGATCCGAACCGGGGCCCTCTGGCGTCCCAAGCCAGTTCTTAACCATTGCGCCACTCGGCCAGCCCTCAAGACCCCTTTTAAAATGAGGTAAATTGAATAAATGCTCCTAGATTCTCTAGAGGCTTTTGTTTTCATTTTTGTCCTAGTGATGGGTATTTTAATTTATATTTGACACTGTCATTTTTGAAAACATTGTAAACAGGATTTTATTTAAACAAAATCTTGCGTGTGTCTTTACAGGTCTGATGACAATTAGAAGCATGCTTTCACTGAACTGCCCAGCCCCATTTGTCACGCAGAATGTCTCTGATTGAGAGCTCGGTGTTTGCCTATGAGTCTGCGGTGCACAGCAGCAACGTGCTGCTCAGCCTCGATGACCAGCGGAAGAAGGATGTGCTGTGTGACGTCACCGTGCTCGTGGAGGGCCAGCCGTTCCGCGCGCACCGGTCCGTGCTGGCAGCATGCAGCAGCTACTTCCACTCGAGACTCGTGGACCAGGCCGATGCAGAGCTGAGCATTACTCTACCAGAAGAGGTGAGAAGAGGCCTGTGCCTTCGGGAAGCACCCTGATTTTAATTTAATTTCACTAAGTTAAATCTCTTATGGTTTATGAAGTTAAAAATAAAACAGTCCCTTTGTCATGAGGCTCAGGAGCAGTTCGCAGATTATGGAACAACACATTTCTTTAGCTTTTTAAAATAAAATTATGGCCTCTTACATGTTAAATTATTAATTTTGGATGTTAGTTAAAAGTGTTTATTGAGTTACTTGACCCACTGTTAGGACACTTTGGAGAGGTCATGCTCCGAGGGGCTGCCCTGTGTGCCATTCTCTCTCTTTGGACCTTTTCCTGTGATGGAAAACTGTGACTGGGTTTAGGGTTGTACAGTCATTCATTTTTCTAAGACAGGCCCTCATGGAAAGCAGGTGCTCCATCAGTGTGCTCTTTCTCTCCTCTTTCTTCTTTCTTGAAGATGTGTCTGTGCGTTGGTAGAAAAAGGGTAATTCTGTGCCATATTTACAGAGCGCTGTTTTTACACATCTTTTTCCACCAGCTTGGTGTGGAGCTCAGGCCCCTAAACATTTGGGTCCTTGTTAATGTCCTGCCTCCAAGAGACCTCTCTCTGGGCTGGGAAGTGCTGCTTGCGCTGGCCCGTATTGGAACAGCTTGCTTTAGTTAGTAACTGAACTGGAATAGTGTTGCGCCTTGTGGCATTGGGGCACAAATTAGAATATAAGAGGAGTTTGGAGGAAGTATATGGTACTTTTTGTGTACAGCAGGCTTGTGTGGGCTGCCCTGTGATGGATACTAAGGCCACACTGGCCATGCATACTTCCATGAAATCATTTCTGCGGGTTGGGGAATCAACAGGTTGTCAGCTCTGTGGCAGAAGTCGGAGCAAGTAATGCAATACCAAGGTGACAAGGAAGGCCAACTAACTGTAGGTTAGTCATTGCTTCTAAAATGTAGCAGTGGTTATCGTAATGGCCATATACTTCATGTGGTCTGTATTTTCACATTACTGAATAAGACTTTCCTAGTAGAGCAGAGTTGCATTCATCAGCATTGGAGGAAAGGTGTATATATGCATTCATTCATTCTAATTTGAGTGTAAATCTTGTAAGTTTTCAAATATTTAAAGTGTCTCATCATAGTGGCAGATTGAAAATATTATATAACTAACTCACTGTCTTAAAAGCCTTTTTTTGGTTATTTTAACTTATTTTTTTTTAATTAATTGAAATTCTTATTGAGATCATTATAAATTCACAGAGAATGCAGAGAGATCCCTTGTACACTTTGCCTAGTTTCCTCCACTGGTAACACTTTGCAAAATTATAGTATAATATCACAACCAGGATACTGACATTAATACAATCCACCCATCACATTCATTTTTCCCTGGTTTTACTTGTACTAAGTGTGTGTCTGAAGTTTTGTACAGCATTGTCCCCTGTGTAGGTCCATGAATCTACCACCATGTCAAGATACTAAACAGTTCCAACACCCAAGGATCCCTTGTGTTGCCCTTTTGTAATCACACCCACTTCTTTCCAACCCTTACCCCTGGTGACCACTGATCTGTCCTCCTTTTCTAAAGTTTTGTCGTTTCAAAATGTTACATAATTGCATTTATACAGTATGTGACCTTTTGAGATTGACTTTTTTCCATTTACACTTACCTTATTTCTTTTGAGATTCATCCAAGTTGTGTGTATCAATAGTTTGATTCTTTTTATTGTCAAGTAGTATTATTCCATAGTATGGCTGTACCAATTTTTATTTAAGTATTCACTTATTGAGGAAAATCAGGCTAATTCCAATTTGGGGCTATTATAAAGTTACTATGAACATTTGTATATAGGTTTTTGTATGAGCATAAGAGTGTAATTGTTGGGACATATGGTAATTGTATGTTTATTTTAATAAGAAACTACCAAACTCTTTCTCAAAGTGGCTGCACATTTTACATTCCCATCAGCAGTGTATGAGTGATTAGTTTCTCCACATCCTCACCAGTATTTGGTGTTATCACATTTTTATTTTAACCCATTTAAAAACTAGCTAAGTACTCACAGCTTAGAATATTTTTAAGAAGATCACAAAAATTATAATATCTTGATCACTTTTATAAGTACTCTGTTTTAAAATTAATTTTGTGCTTTTAATCCAGAATGAGGCTTTCTCTGCACTTCAGTATGTTCCATTGCCCCTCACTTTGCAGAGGCAGGTTCCATGTAAATGCACAATTTTCCACTTAAAGTTTTGTCACCTAGAGTACATGAATCTTTGCTGAAACAATACTAGGCATGGTTTTTATTTTTATTTTATTATTAGTAGTAGTGGTAGTATTTTTAGCTGAGCCATCCTGCCACCTGTTGGCAGCTCAGCGGCAGCTCAGCTCAGGCTGGGATTCGAACTGGCGACCCTGTTGCTCAGAGCTTGCACTCTTGAGCGAGCTCTTAACCAACTGCGCCACTCAGCCAACCCTCAGGTATGGTTTTTAGCATTTTACTTTGGTCACTTTTTAAACCTGAGTCTTTAAAATTTTTATTAGAAATTTTTGGCATGAGATAAAGATAACGGTTACTGTTTGCTGTGCATTTGCCTTGGACCAGGACTCCTTTAAGTGCTTTAGATACATTGTTTTTTATCCTTAAAATTTTCACTTTTGTAGTTTATAGCAGTTGGAGTTTGGAATCTAGTGTTCGCATGGAGCTGGGTGGCAACAGGCACCCAGCACTTGACTATGTGTGTGCTGCAAGTGTGTCCCCCCTGCTTTGTTTCATAGATTATTTATTTCAGCTAATTTGGGAAAACTGTGATAATGTTTATGTCTTAATTTACCTCTTGTGAGTAAACCATAATTCATGTGTCAGTAAGAAGAAAATATGGTTTCTGTGAATAGGGTGTGATAAACATGCTTTTCCAGCCTCTCTTAGCTCCACTTACCAAATTAAAATACTTATTTTGTAATTATCACAAATAAGTTATTCATCTCATTCCCCTTTTACTTCTTTTGTATTTATCTGTTAGACAGCTTTAAGTGATGCGTTTGTTTTTGTTTTGTATATTAACAGGTGACAGTTAAAGGATTTGAACCTTTAATTCAGTTTGCCTACACTGCTAAACTCTTTTTAAGTAAGGACAGTGTGGATGAAGTGTGCAAGTGTGTGGAGTTTTTAGGTGTACACGATATTGAGGAATCCTGCTTTCAGTTTCTCAAATTTAAGTTTTTGAACTCCACTGAAGATCAGCAAGAATGCCCAAGAAAAAAATGCTTCCCACCACACTGTCAGAAAACAGACCTTAAATTTCCCCTTTTGGACCGGAGGGATTTAGAAATTGATGAAGTGGAGGAATTTTTGGAAAATAAAAACGTTCAGACTCCTCAGTGTAAACTCCGCATGTATCAAGGAAATGCAAAATCACCACCTCCTCTACAGGACAGTGCCAGTCAAACATGTGAGTCCATGTGCTTAGAAAAGGATGCTGCTCTGGCTCTGCCATCTTTATGCCCCAAATACAGAAAATTCCAGAAGGCATTTGGAACTGACAGAGTCCGTACTGTGGAATCCGGTGTCAAAGACAGTCACTCTTCTGTTCAGTCGGGTGAGACATCTGAACATGAATGTCTGGGAGTAATCCAGGACTGTGCAGATGTGCAGCTGATTTTAAAATGTGAAGAAAGGAAGTTAGTGGAACAAGAAGCCAAGAAAGACCCTGCTTCTCAGTGCCCATCTGGAAAAACAGAAGTGACCCCTTTTGCCCACAGTTCTCCTGCAGACCCTCAGGGACTCTACTCCCTGTCCCTTCTGCACACGTATGACCAGTATGGTGACTTGAATTTTGCGGGTATGCAAAACACAGCAGTGTTAACAGAAAAGCCTTTGTCAGGTCCAGATGCTGGAGAAGAGAAAACATTTGTTACAAATCAGGATTTACATTTGAAATCCGACTCTGGCCCCAGGGAGGATAGTAGCCTTGCCTCGAGCGATCGGAGCAGTGTGGAACGAGAAGTGGCCGAACACCTTGCGAAAGGCTTCTGGAGTGACATTTGCAGCACCGACTCTCCTTGCCAAATGCAGTTATCACCTGCCATGGCCAAAGATGGTTCGGAACAGATCTACTCCCCGAAACGGTCTGAGTGTCCCTGGTTAGGGATCAGGATTAGTGAGAGCCCAGAGCCGGGCCAGAGGACTTTTGCAACATTGAGCTCTGTCAACTGCCCTTTTATAAGTACTCTGAGTACTGAAGGCGGTTCAAGCAATTTTGAAATTGGGAATGATGATTATGTTTCAGAACCCCAGCAGGAACCGTGTCCATACGCTTGTGTTATTAGCTTGGGCGACGACTCTGAGACGGATACTGAAGGCGACAGTGAGCCGTGTTCAGCCAGAGAACAAGAATGTGAGGTGAGTGGAACAGGAGTGTGTTGTTAAGTCATTGTTTTACCACCATTAGTTGGGATTTAGTTTGTGTCCGCTCCTTTGCATCACTCAGGAAATGGCAGGCTCAGGCAGGGAGGAGGAAGCCCATTCCACTTAGCTATCAAACCATGTGATCAGTGCCAAAAGAGTGTGATGCAGTCAAGGACTTCTGTGTCCCATGTATTTCATGCATGTGTGTTTATGGTAGCCATGGCATGGAGTCACACACTGGCTGTTTAACTTGGTGTCAAATGCCATGCCCCAAGAGGGAAAAAAATAATGATCCTGTGATCATTACGTGGGAACTCCTGGAAAAACATAGCGTATATTCAATCTTTTTCATTGCCACGTGGATCTCTAGACCTAGGACAAGTCGCTTGGCAGTGACTTAGCAGTGACTAGTTGTAGGGATGTGGCTTCTAATGCAGAATATTCTTTATGTTAGGTTTTCATAGCCATTATTTTTTTCTTATTTTCCCTTAGGCATTTAAGCTATTAATGAATATCTTAATTTAGCATGTGTTATATGTAGTTGTATGGTGTTTGTGTTTGATAGCCTTTTTTTTTTTTGTAACTTGTTACCATAATTTCATTAATAATAAAGACTCGTGAGTTCTTTATCGTTTTCTTTGGTTTTATACCTGTTGGAAGACATGGGTTTGAGAAGAATATTTTTTCCTTGGCTTTGGAAGGAGGGAATTAATTGGTGATTTAATTTAAGAAGTAATATATGCATGAGTTGTCTCTATAGATTTGTGTATGACATTTATAAATCCAGTGTGTGCAAAATCTAGTGTATGAAAAGAATGTTAAAAATAAAACATTTAAGGAATTTTAAAACATTCTGTTTAATTTTTATAACAAAGTAGGTTGTCAGAGAAACTGACCAGTGTTTTATTTGCATTTTTGGTCATTATAATTAAACTGTCCTACAATTTTGTCATTAAAAATATATCTTCTCTTTTTTTCCAAATTTATGTATGTTGCAAATGAATTTAAAATATTCATAAGAGTCTTCTAATCATTTTTACATTGGCAAGTGAAATGTGTAGCTTTTAAAATGAGTTATATGAAACTACCATTTCCTGACAGAAAGATAAATTTTTTGAAATGCTTTATAAAAACATAATTATACCAGTGTTAAGTCAGAGCCACACAGTAATATAAATCAAACAATAAAATTGATTTTTTTTGGTTTGTGTAAAATCACTTTAGAAAATGGCACAAAGATATCTGTAGGGTGTTAACATGCCCTAGTAAAATAAATTCTGTTTGTTCATTTTAAATATACTAATATTTGTGTTAATATGTTTGATTTGCTGGTAAAACACCTGCTCTTCAATTTATTCGTCTTCTGAACCCTCCCTAAAACAGACTAGAAATCTCAAATAGGGATTGTATAGAAATTGGGAATAGATCTCTATTTTTTTTTTAAAGCCTAAATGAAGTTCTCTGGAAAACAAAGATGTATATCTTCCTCTTCTTAGTTTTAAGTATAACTACAAAATACAGCGACAATTACTGATGTTTATTTCACATTCTAGGTAAAACTGCCATTTAATGCACAACGAATTATTTCGCTCTCTCGAAATGATTTTCAATCTTTGTTGAAAATGCACAAGCTGACTCCAGAACAACTGGATTGTATCCATGATATTCGCAGAAGAAGTAAAAACAGAATTGCTGCACAGCGCTGTCGCAAGAGAAAACTAGACTGTATACAGAATCTTGAATCAGAAATCGAGAAGCTGGTAAGTATATACGAGTTTCTTTTTATTTAAATTCCACCACACCATTCATTTTTTTTGTTTTGTTTTTGTTTTTTGTAGAGGAAATAGCTATTGCAATTTTTAAGTCAGGTTATAATGCTCAATTATACATTAATTTTAAAATGTACCAGTTACCATTTTAAGAAAATAAATTATATGACATTTCCAGAAAACTTAGGAAATAAAAAAAAATGAGGGTGTTCATAGACTGTTTTACTTATGTGAGTATGCTATATATTTAGCATAATAGACTATAATATGTAAGAAGAATTATTTCTGGGTGTTTTTTTTAATGATTTACAAATTAAGGATAATTTTACTATCTACCTAATTCTTAGTGGTTGAGTAAAGATTAAAGAAATTATAAAGCACTTGAATCTCTTTGTGCTGTGTTTGGTGTCTGTAAAAATTAATGGTCCAGTTGTTAGCTTAAATAAACTGTAGACTTGAATAACTTGTTTTGGTTGGTATCAAAACAAACCACCCAACTTGGATCTTTCATCTAAGGGAAAAAGTTCACATGCTGATATGAATGGAAAATTTTAAGATCTAATGAGACCCTAAGTGTGAAGAATACTTACTTAATTGAATCTTTCTGTTTCAACCTCAAAACACAAAATAACTGAAAAATGGATTAATTTGCATCCATGTTTCTCTGTTCCCCTAGTGGTTGGTGGAAGGAAACTGTATGAAAAAAGGCCAGCTAACACTAAAACACAGTTAGAGACAGACAGTAGGGAAACAGTACCTGGAAGTAATCAAGACATTCCTTGAATGTTCAGTTTTGGGTCTTTGTTAATTATTGGTGAAAGTTTAAAATTGTGATTGTAGCCAGTCTCCAAACATGAACAGTTTAGCTATGAAGGGCAGTGAAACAGAAACAATTCAGAAAAAGAAAACCAGGCTTTTATGTACCTTCAAAACAGTGGAAAAATAAAAAAACTTTTTTATGTATTTTGTATCTACTTTAATTATGCAAAAAGATAAAGACATATAACTATATAAAAAGATGAAGCATGGCCGTATACAAAGATGAAAGAGAAACCAGATGCTTTACAAATGGAGAAATGAGACATATAAAACACCTATGTGATATTACTGAACGATTAAAGTGGTTAGGATCGAAGAAGAAAAGTTACACATTCAGTAATATTTACCCAGTATTTTGAGGGTGTGTATTAGTCCATACCTGTAAGCACTAGTATTCTCCCTTATTATCCAACTTTGAATTAAACCCTTGCATTTAGACAGAGTATATCATTTTACCTTTAGTTATTATTCCTTACTGTACCATAGAGGTGCTTTTTAGACTGTTGGGTCATGTAGAGCTATTTGAAATCTACATGAAATTATACTATTACAGTTCTTAGACCTGCTTTTTGTAGTTCTGTCTTTCCCCCTCAGCTGATGATAATGTATAGCTGTAGGTAGAATTTATCCAGTTTTCTTCCTCTCCTAAAAACAGAAATGAAAACAAAACAAAACCTTCAGGCTGATGAAGTTTGTTTCATCAGTAACTTTATTTTATACACGGATACTAAGCAGATATGTTGGGGAGTAGCTGTTACCTTTAGAACTTTGTTTCCTGGCTCACAGGTCTTATTTATATTTTGTTTTATTGAAGTCAGATATTGGATTGCTGGACAGCTGATGTTTGTACTAACTTTCAGATATCTAGGATAAAGAGGCCTAGCCACTTTCTTTGCACTTACTGCCCTCTCTGCCTTTGCTTCAACAGAGAGACGGGTGGGAGATACAGTGGTTAAAAGGATGGAGTTCTGAATCAGACTCCCACCTGTGGCACTTGTAACTTTGGGCAGGCTATGTAATTTCTTAGTCCCTCAAGTTTCTCATCTGTAAATGGGATCATACTAGTTCTTACTCTTTAGAGTGGGTGTTCATTTATGAAGGTTAAATGGTGCTCATTTATCAAGAGTAAATATATTTAAAGGACCCAGGAAGTTGCCTGGTACATAGTAAACACTCAATAAGTATTACCTTTTTCTTTGTATTATTATTGCTATACTATTATTTATCAGTTTTCAGTTTTGTCTTCCTTAATTTCTTCTTTCTTGATATCTCTGCCTAAACTGTAAACTTTGGGTTTGAACCTTACTCTTAAATTGCCTCTCTCATTATAGTAAGGTTCCTTTCATATGGTCAATGGAATAACTGTTGGTCAGTTTCCAATACAAAGGGATATTTAGTTTCCTAGCAGTTTTTTTTTTTTTTTTAAGATTTTTATTGCGGAATTGGGGGTATGGGAACAGTGCTGGGGAAT